TCAACTTCATCAACGTGGCGAGCCTTGCACGTGAGAGGCACAGTGGAGGTGGAGTTCAAAGAAGAATGAGAAATTTAATGGTTTCAATCTGCCCTTGTTTTTTCTTTTTGTTTTTGTTTTTCTTTTTATTTTTGCATGTTATCACTGTGCCCGTTTTTTGCTTTTATTCTTTGTTCCGCAAAGTGCGCTCTTTTAGTTTGTAGTGATGTGACAATATATATATATACACAGCCGCTCGTTTGTTGTCCTCTTCTCCCTCTCTGCCTACGGTTTACCGGGCAGTTCTATTTGACGATATATATATATTATATACCGGGCAGCTTTGTTTGACTATATAGAGCTGCCCGGTAAACCGTAGGCAGAGAGGGAGAAGAGGACAACAAACGAGGGGCTCTGGCAAACTGTTTCGTCGGAGTTTCACTGACTCATATATACATATATATAGAGAGAGTTTTCCATCTGGTGTGGATGAGTGGTAGTCTGCTTTGATTTCCGTCACAGGTTCCTTGAGGGCAGTGGTTGGTGCCCACCTCAAGGTATCAGTTGTCGGGAAATCGTTGATGCTTAACCACAGCCGGGGTTGAGGTGGATTATCACTTACAGTGTAATCAGTTAGGGGATTCTGCAGACTGTTGAGGGTTCAGCCTCCCGATGGGTCGGTGAAACTCCAACGAAACAGTTTGTCACAGCCCCTCGTTTGTTGTCCTCTTCTCACTCTCTGCCTATGGTTTTCCGGGCAACTTTGTTTATCTGGGGACCACTTGCCCGGCCGGGCCTGTGGGGCCAGTGCAGCCTGGACCGACACCCTCTGGCCCTCAGGAAAAAGTAGCTTGATTTACTATCTTGTTTTTTTTTTTTTTTTTTAACTGATCACAACAGAAACTACACTCGACCTTGGCCAAAAGGCCGAAAAAGGTATTTTTATCCTGCATAACATAGTGCGAGGCCTAAGGCCCCTATGAGCCCCTTTGGCCCTGTTTGCAGGGCTGTCCGCCGCCCTAAGTGAAGGCAGGCTCGACTCAGGCCAAGGGGGCCCCATTTTCAGGCCACCACGCAACTGGGGAAATTCAGACGGTTGCGCAGCGTCGGTTGGTTACAAGCGCCCAGGCCCAGGCAGCCAATTTGCAAATGTATCTGAAGTACGTCCTGGGCCAGACACACAAACGGACCGAACACAGGCTGT